TTTGTAAATGGGATCACAAGTCCGCATCTTGTACAGCAATTAACCACTAAGAAGAATATATGCAGTGTATTATTTGTTGAAACTGTCCTTCCGATATGATTTTAAACTGTCTCATTGCTATCTGTTTGTCAATAAAACTTTGAGAAAAAAAAAAAAATTTAAAAGCTAGGCTGGTGAGATAGCTCAATGGACTAAGCACCTGCTTAGGCAAGTGCAGGGACTAGGGGTTCATTCCCTGGTACCACATGCCACACTGGCCACACCCCAGGCGCACTGAGCCAGTCAGAGACTAAGTGTGGTGGTGCACACCTGTAATCCTAGCACTGGGGAGGCTGAAAACAGGAGGATCACTATAAGTCTAAACTGCTTAGTGAGACCCTGTACCAAATACATAAAAATAAATAAAATTTAAGCAGCAGCCAGATAACTCAGCAAATTAAAGTGCCTGTTTAGGCAGATGCAAGGACTAGGGTTCAATCCCCTGCATGCAGTGCTGGCCTTGGCCCTGGGGCAGGCTGATACAGTGACTGAGACTGGGTATGGTGGCGGACGCTTGCAATCCCAGTGCTTGGAAGGCTGAGAACAGCAGGATCACTGTGAGTCCAATCTGTGTAGTGAAACCCTGTACTAAAAACATTAAAAAGTTAAGATTTTAAAAATAAGACAGTCGGGGCTGGTGAGATGGCTCAGTGGTCTAAAGCACCTACTTAGAACAAGCTTAGCAAAGCCCAGGGACCGCGGTTCAATCCCCCAGCACCACAAGCCAGCCAGCCCCGGCCCCTGGTGGGCTGAGCTGGCCACACACACACACACACACACACACACACACACACACAAATAAATAAAAAATTTAAAAAAAATAAGACAGGTCTATGTCACAGCTGGTGTCACATGCCTATAATCTCAGCACTGGGGAGGCTGAGGTAGGTTGATTACAAGTTTAAAGCCAGGGGGGTAACTACCCGTTCGGGTCCCCCCCTCCTGACCCTCTCTCGGGACAGGAGCTTTCTTTC